CATCCTGTCATTGCCCCCTCAACTTTCAGGGTCCCCCAGTTTTGTCAAGGTCTTAGTCTTTCAGTGCCCCCCAGCCCTCTCATTACCTGCCAGGCCTGTCAAGACCCCACAGTCCTTCTAGGATACCCCTAATTCTTCTGGGCCCCCTAACCATATCACTATCTAAACTGCCGGTGGTCCCCAGTCTTGCCAGGCTCTCCAATCCTTCATGGTTATCTCAATCCTATAAGTTCCCCAGGCCTACAAGCCTCCCTTCACCTTTTATCAGTTTTCCTATTTCTGTCTGCCCCCATTCTCCAGTTTTTCCAGGGATCTCCACTTCTGTCTGGGAGAAACTGGGGTTAGGGGGGCGATGAGAACCCCTTCCCTCAGTGATGGCCACACTGCAGTCCCTTCTCCTCCAGTCTTCTCTTTGGATTTTTGGCACACACATACATATATGCACCTTACATGAATTTCGAGCTGCTGGGTCTGAGACTCAAACTACACAGTTAGCCACGTGGGATCCAGCTGCCTTAACCTCCATGCCACCTGCTGGCCCCTGAGATTATAATTCTTATTAACTGTGTCAGATTAACTCCCATTGTGTACCTTATGCATTAGTGTTTATTTAATCCTCATCACCACCTATAAGGTATAGACCTCAGGATTTTCTGCTTTGTGCAGCTGAGAAAGCTCAGGCTTAGAGGGTGAAATAATGCCTTAGGAAACAGTAGAGCCTGGATCAAACTAGACTAATGTGATTCCACTTTTTTTTTTAGAGAGATATTTGTTGTAGGGCATGTTTGCTTGCCAGAGAGAGAGAGACAGAGAGACAGAGAGACAGAAAGCAAGAAATTACCCCTCAAGGTGTTATGGTCATGCTTAACCCTTCTCCATTTTTGGAATTTTGGACATGCACGCACATGCACCCAGAATGAGTTTCAAGCCTCTGGGTCTAGGACTTGAACCCACAGTCAGTAATGTAGGATTCCAGTGACGTAATGTAGGATTCCAGTGTACCATCTGCTGGTCCTGTGATTCCACTTTCTTAACCTTCATTAAGAAGGTGCACATTCTTTTGACTGTCTTGGAAGAACAAAGATTTATGAAACTCAGTTATCTGCTATGATACTAGGCAAATGTTGATGGCTATAAAACAGTTACTGTATCACCAGCGACTCCTCATGGAGTTAATGTATACTGAGCTCAGGCGAACAATATACATATATCATGAACACACACATATACACATATGTAACATGTGCACCTGTATATTACACATAGACATACACATAGGTATGGTTGCCTTATTTGGTGGAAATATTTAATTTTGTATGTAAACTATTTTAAGTTCTCGGTGAAATTTTTGCATTTGTAGTAAAAGAATTCATTATTCAAGTCAGGCTTGAAATTAAGAAATCTTTTATCAGTATTCAGAAGATCTGTTACACTGTTGCATACTCTCTCCATGTTTAATGTTGTTGGTTGTTTTTTGTTATAGGGTACACGTGCTCACAGGAGAGAAATAGAGAGAGGGAAAGTGAGAAATCACTCCCCAGGGGGGTGGCCACACCACAATCCCTTCTCCATTCTCCTCCTGGGACTTTGGACACGCACACATCCCCAGCATGAATCTCAAGCCTTTGGGTCTAGGACTTGAACCACATTTGGCCCTGTGGGAGTCAAGCCACATTTAACCACCATGTCACCTGCTTGCCTGTGTCTAATATTCTAAAGAAAAATGCATTTCTATATATATTTTTCCAGTATTTGATCATCTGGAAAAATATTTTTTCCAGTATTTTCTTTTTTTTTTTGCGAGGTTTTTGCTATAGGACACGTGCGCTCACCAAAAAGACAGAGAGAGGGACCAGCAGTTAGCATAATGGCTATGTCGCTGGACTCCCATGTA